TCTAGCCAAGTGCTCCGACATCATCAACAAATCATTTTTTACCGGGAATAATAACATCTTTTCCCTCAACGAATCGACACAAATTAATCTGTACAAGGCTAACTCAAAGGACTTCTATAATTTGCTTGACGTCAAGATTCACACCGAAGATTAAACGGGCCCTAAACGTTGGAGCGAAAAACTCTCTTTAAAAAAGGACGTATGGACTAAGATCTTTAAATCACTGAAAAACATTTGAAAGGAAACTAAACTCAAAGAGTTTCAATTTAAATTAATCCATAGAACGATAGTAAATAAGAAAGAATTATTCAGATTTGGTATTAAGGCGGAAGATGAATGTCTATACTGCGGAGATAAAGATTCAATTGAGCACTCTTTTGTCGAATGTATGTTTACCAAATTGTTTACCCAGAAGGTCTTGAACTGGTTCAACCAAGTGAATGCGAGTCAAATTTCTCCTACCACAGAGGAGAGCTTGTTCGGTATTACTGCAAGCTCCCACGACATAGCAATAATACGTACGGAAATTCAACTACACTGCCTTATCTATGCGCCATTAAATTTATTCAAGCAAGTTAAATAGCCTGGCCATCTCCATTCAGGATTTTATGAGTAAGTCACTCATTAAATACAATCTTGAAAATCTGTCTTAATTAACTGTGTTAGTGAGAAGTACTCCTCCCTCCTCAAAGTCAATATACAGTATAACGTATTGTAAGTAACTGTATGTACAGCAAGTAATGTAAGTAGAGTATAATATTGTTAGCAGTGTAAGTAGCCCGTATTACAAGTAATTGTATATTCTGTAAGAAACTGTATTCAGTATTGTATTGCCAGCATAAGTAACCCGTATTGTAGGCAACGCAAGTAATGTTCTGTAAGTAGAGTAGCGTAATGAGACCTGCATTGTAATGTTTGTAGAATTGTGTTTTGAAAATTAAAATTAGTAAAAAAAAAAAAAAAATTCAGCAGTTTTTGCTGCGCAGGAAATTTTTGGGGAAACTGCCCAACTACCGCCGCTAAAAAAGTGATGGTCCGTCCCTAAGTAAACTTGTTTGTTTACTTTTATTACATAATGGAAGGGTATCACCGTGACAGCTGTTTAAACTTATGCCATCGGAGCAAGGTATGAAATGGCAACAAACCGGTGCAATGATAAAAGGAAATTTTTTCTTTAATATTTGCCTTTCTCTCTCCACTAATTGTAATAATATGTAGACGGTTGTGAAGATACATATTGCTCGAAAGGACTAAAACAATTTCGTTACCATCTGATTGACGTAGGAGGGCATTGCAGTGTGCATAAATTGGTTATGCCGTGACCTAACAGAGTTTGAATATTTAATTACCAGGGGAGCATAAGCAGCATTTCGGGTATAGGAAGAAAATTGGTGACGAAACACGGATTAGTTCAGTGTTAAGTCATACTGGGAAGAAGTAGTTTTATTTTACGAGTTCGTTTTAGAGCAAAACTTAATAGCTTCATTCAATTTCAATTCGTTACTCGGCTCGCAGCTCATGTTTGAAATGTATGGGCTCCACCATTTGTCAAATGTGATATGAACTGCAATTCATTTATACTGAGTTACGATTGAACGATTAACTTTTCACGCAGTGAATCTAAAACATAGAAACTCTGCAATAAACTATGGGTGCGAATTTATTCTTTTTCCTTAGTGTATCACGATTGCTGTTTGACCTTATTAAGTTCTGAAACTCAAACTAATTATTTATTCGGCTTACAAACGGAGTGTAGGTTTGCAGTGGTTTCTTTGTTGGAAAATGGGAATATAACCAATGTTTCTGCCACAACTATCTTCTACTTTACCTGCGCAAATCCCTGCTAGTACTCGAGTAGCTCCGGTTCGCTCTCTCTCGGGCTGCCAAAGGAGAGAATTGGAGTGCGTCACTTGGAATACCGATTTGAAGTGTGAAAAATATGCAAATCTATGTTCCCGTTTTGTTGCTGACAGCATGCTGACAATTGATCAACAAATATTTCATGTCATTGATATCGATTGATTTCCGATATCGATTTTTATCGATGCACTACGCCTGGCAATCAGTGACTCACGAACTATTAACAGCTCCACTAAAATTATCGAAAGGAATAAAGAATCTTTCTTTTTTGTACTTCGGAGACATAAATAATTATGATGCCAAGAGAAGATTAATTTTAGAGAAATTACGAGAGATCGGGACTGAAAGGCCGAATGAATCCAATAGTGAGCAAAGAAACGGCCACAAACAAACAACAATCATTGAAACAAAAAATGATCAAAGACCCATTTGCAGTTCTTTTTGGCAGAATGTAAATTGTGAATAAGCATGCGGATAAATACCATCAACCTTAAACAAAAACAAACTGAAAACGAATCAAAACAAAAGAAATTCAAAGGACGTAATTATCAATAGTGAAGTTCCAGTGAAGTGACACTCGTCCATAGATACTCCAGCAGAATTTAAAAAATGTCCACTGTTCCCATCTTCAAGTTCGTTGTCTTGAGATGTCAATCATAAAACCACTAAATGTCGCCATAGCATAGGCAGACTGACAGCCATTCAGATAGACTAATATTATTAAAACGAAAAGGACGTAAAATTAGTTACACATTACAAAAAAAAACGCAAATCTTGTAGTCTTACTGCACGTGTGACTATATAGCAAAGATATCAGTGACGTCACCTNCGAAAAGGACGTAAAATTAGTTACACATTACAAAAAAAAACGCAAATCTTGTAGTCTTACTGCACGTGTGACTATATAGCAAAGATATCAGTGACGTCACCTATTGTTATTAATATGCCAACCAGAGAACTTTTGGTTGGTGAAACAAAGAATTCTTTTGTTTAACGTTTTGAACAATTAAATGACAAAAACAACGTTTGTAAACAAATATCTTCCCCATACTGAAAATTCCTTTGTAAGACAAACCGTCTGTAGTCTACCTTTTTAGACGCAATGATCGAAGTCAGTTAAATAAAAATTTTCAAGGAACTTTGAGATATTTTTCCTCCAATTGTATTTATTTATTTTATTTTAAATTTGGCTTTGTAGATTCTTATATACTCTTGTAATATAATTTATTCATAACTACTATTACATTGCAGCTGAAAAGCCCTTATTGGGGGAGTTTCAATAAACGTAGGTATATATGTATGTAGATAATGAACAATGGTAGCAAGACTTCAATTCATCGTTTTATTGTAAACTTGCTTTATTAATATGGTAAATTTATTTGTCTTCGAATTCTACTCCAGGCAGGTTTTCAAATGGCTAGGAAAATATTTCTTTGTTTTCAATTAATTATCTGAATTAACTGCACGTTCGTACAGCATATTATCGCCAGCTATCGACCATTGTGACCATTTTAATTTCATTGAAAGAAAAAACACGTGTTTGCCAAAAATCACTATACAGTTAAAATAACGCCTGGGGAATGAATTACAGTCACTCCATGTTACCGCACCTGAAGTTGTAACACTTCCTGTTATGTAAATAAGTAGAATTTGAGCACGCACGTTCGCGGGAAACTGTCCATTTGCATTGTTTAAAATTCAAAATTGATGACACTTTTTTATTCCGCCATGCGCGCATCAGCACACTTGAGTTTTCAAATTTAATTTTATAACGGACTCGAACTGCTCTGCAGCAAATGAACAACTTTTAATCAAAGTTTGGGCAACTTTGCGTCGCGTTTAAGTTTATTGTTAACCGCTACGATGAGGTTTAAAAGAACTAAGAATATGCTCCATATATAGAGACTGTTACCACAAGATTTGCTTAGGCACTGAGCAAGATCCTCCGCTTTTCTGAGCAAGTTCGACATGAGAGTTGATTGAACCTCGCTTGGTAATCACGGCAGCGTTTATTCAAACAGCGCGATCTCAAAGTTTTTACACGCTGGACCTGCCATTCTCAGAATTTCCAGGATTTCGTGACTGTACTTTATCAGTCTTAACCATCACTGAGCCGGTAGACTGCGATGAAATGACACATTTTTCCTTCGTCGATGTTACTTTCATCACAAAACCTTTGCACAACGTTATCAACTTGCCGAGCGATAGACTTGAGAGACTAGAGGAAGGACAATCGGAGGAAACTGCTTAAACAGAGGTAACTGGATGTTATCGACACTTAAGTACAATGTAATTATTTCTATTTCTACATTTTTATGAACTATGTACTTCTACGATCACAAGTGCTTCGCAATAACTACAAATGACACAGCCATACTTAAACTTTCCTCTAGCTGTAATTTCACGAAACAATCCTGAAAAACCGTACCACCATGACAAGACGTAGAATAAATAATTTTATTAGTCTCAATGTCTAATGCACACGATCACTTGATGCCAGATAGCGAGTTTTGCGATCTTGAATTCTTTTTTCCAGTGACAGGAATGTTTTATCAGTAAATTAATCGTTCCGAAAAGTTACCAAACAACATGCATCCAAACGTTTCCGTACGTTTTCAATAATAACTTTGATTGCTAACGATTTACATGTACATTATTATCTTTACATTAGCCTGGAAAACTACGGCATAGTTACAGTTTGGTACAATATATCACACCACTGGAGTGGAAATAGGCCAGACAGCAAACAGACTGGTTAAAAAAGAAACTGGAAAAGCTCAGTATTCTTAACCGACATACAAACGTCGAATTCCTGGAGAAATGATTGGAAAGAATTAATTCATGGATCATTGAGGTTCCACAAAGCCATCAGCGACTAGATAAGTGGATCTTTTCTTAACCCTGACCGTGAACTTGGATCAATTCAGAGCATCTGTTCAGGTAAAAATTACTGACTTTCTCCTTAGTAACGACGGGACTATCAACGATTGGTTAGATTTATTTTATTTTAGCCGTTAATTGTAAATATTGTACAGAATTGTAGTTTGTATGTTATTGCATATTATGTTGATTTCTTTTGTTATTTTGCTCTCGGAAAAATTAGCTTTTGTAATAGCTACTCTTGAATTTAAGTTTCTGTATGTATGTATGTATATATATGAGTGCATTTTACTGAAATTAGTAAATCGAACAAAAACCAGCTGAAGATATGATGTTGCTCTATGGAAAAAGCGTTCGACATGGTTTAAATAACGGCTCATAGATTTTACAATGCCATCCAGTAACTAAGATGATATCTTTCCAAATCGAAAATGAAGGCTTCTTGGATTATAACTTAACTTCAAATAAGAAACAAACGATAAAAGAAATAAACCAAGAAACCAAGAAACAAAATAAACGGTTATTTCATTGTAAAACTTAATCATTCCTTAGAATTAACAAATTACAACAAAAAATTCTCTTTATATAAAAAGCAGTTGATGCATGCAGAACAAGACATTCAAATCTTGAAATTGAAAGTGCTGTTAATGGGAATCAAACACCTTCAAAGATCCAATTCCCAGCTGGGTCAGTGGAGGGTTTCGCGCGCTCCACTTAACGTAAACGGGATTCAAACCCATTGCAAAATGCATTCACCAGCAGAGTGAAGGGTTTCACACGCTCCACTTAAATCGAACGGGATTCAAACCCATTCGAAGACGTAATTCCCAGCTGGGTGGAGAGTTTCACGCGCTCCACTTAAATTAAATGGGATTCAAACCCATTCAAAGATGCAATTCTCAGCTGAGTGGAGAGTTTCACGCGCTCCACCTAACATGAACGGGATTCAAACCCATTGGAAAATGCATTCGCCTGCTGAGTGGAGAGTTTCACGCGCTCCACTTAAATGCAATGGGATTCAAACCCATTTGAAGATGCAATTTCCAGCTGAGTGGAGAGTTTCACGCGCTCCACTTAAATTGTACGGGATTCAAACCCATTCAAAGATGCAATTCTCAGCTGGGTGGAGAGTTTCACGCGCTCCACTTAACGTAAGCGGGATTCAAACCCATTTGAAGATGCAATTCCCAG